AAAAAATGGGCTGAAAGTCGAGATGAAGTAGAAATATGTGCCGAGCAATTCCTTTGTACTAAAACTTTGCGACCACAGCTTAAAATAGCAACAAATAGAATTGAATCGTTATAGCCATTTTGTAAGCAATTCAGGTACGCCTCGATTGTTTCCAAATGCTCCATTCGTTGCTTTGCTGTCTGGTAAATTTGACATTCGTCATCCCAATGATCGTCTTTACAAATGAACTAGGTCTTCGTATTTACAGTGCTGAATTCACCGGTAAGTATATTTAATTTTTATTGATTAAGGATACGACAAAATTAATGAAATAGTAATGATGATTGCACTATTAATCGCGACCACATATATTTAAGAGTAATCACTCTCAAAATACATTTAATGGGAATAAGACTAAAAGGTCGCCTTATCAACATATCTCAATCACAGACACCTTTTGTTTCATCTGTAGATGTTTACACTTCCATAATTTTTTGTATTTAAAATTAATTTTCTTTTGAAGAAATAAATTATATATGTTGTGAAAGTTTGATTATCTGGGTGTATACGAATATAGAAAACGCAAGAAAACGCACGACCAACCATTTATTTGCAAACGCAAACGAACCGATTGTGGGCCAACGTCCAATCATTCATCGTTTCCTTCTCGCAATGAAACACGCCAACCTAAACTTCAATGCGAAAACTGCAAGGAATTTTTCTGCCGCAAGGGCTATTTGAAAATACACATGAAGCGATGCTTAATAACTTCTCGTTAGTTTCGCAAATCTAGCAAAATTTCAAGCATGTTTCTATCTCGAATAGTAGAATGCACATGTAAATGTGATGCGAAACATGTAAGACCATGGAACACTGCAAAATTCAATAAATATTGCAATGCAGAAAATGAAGCCAAACTGCGGCAAAGTGTCCATTTCTTTTGGCGCAGTGAGGCAGCATTTAGAAAATATTCGTTATAGACCTAACTGCAACACATCCACAATTCGGGCATATACAATGCACGAAATGGTTTGTAAGTATCAGAAATTGCGCGGCATCTTCAGTGCTACCATCAAAACAGATGCCAATTTATAGTCTCATTTTAATATTGGCTTTCTGATCTGTTTTGTTTTCATTCTCTTTACTATGCAACATATCATAAGAGTAATTAGTGACAGAAATGGCTATTTTTTTAAAATCAATTCTTATTAAAAATTGGACTGCATATTCGATCCTTCATGATCGTCTGATGTTATAAGAGTTTTTCAGAAAAGCGAACTCATGAGTGTCCACATGTCAGATGTGCTTTTCACACGAACAGTCGCAAAGAATTTAGAAAACACTGGAAAACGCACAAGAAACCATTTATTTACGAATGTAGAGAACCCAATTGTAGAAAACAGTACAATCAAAGCTCATCATTTTACTCTCACAAGGAAAAACATCAACCTAAACCTCAATGCGAAAATTGCAACAGATCCTTCAGCTGCAAGGGCAGCTTGAAAACACACATGAAGCGATGTGCTTTATAACTTCTCGTTAGTTTTGCGAATTTAGAGAAATTTCAAGTTTCGAAGTTTAGCAAAAATAAAAATTCTCACTTTAATATTGAAATTTGTGATCTGTCTTGTCTTTATTCTTTTCGCTATCCCATATTTCATGAAAATAGTGACGTGAACTTCTTGGTTGATAACGATACATTACTACTCGAAAATGAGTATCCCGCAGTCATTTGAAATCCTGTTTTTCCATCTTCTTCTTTTAGTTTTGGCAAATGTCTGAGTTAACGATTTTCTTTAATCAAATTCTTCCGTCCAAATATCGCGCCTTTTCCTTCTACTTTAATTTTTGTATCCGAACAATGTAAAATTTATTTGATGATATCATATCATTATAATTTTCCTG